AAATAACTACAAGGCTAGCCACTTATGTGATATACTCTCCGACATCGAGTCCAATATCTCGCCTCAGAATCGTCGCAGAGCAATAAATTTCACATCGTCTAATAGCACGAACGTTCCTCTTTCGAAAGAACTTGGTTTCTTCACCATTGCGGCAATTCCCGCGACACACGACGAACTTTGTTTGTCAAAAGTCCAAATTTCCATTTTCGACAGACTTAGCGCGTCCCCAGAGGAGGAATGAGGGTCTTCCCACAATGCATTGCGTCTAATTATTATTCACAATTACAATTTTCAACGAACATTTGGCGAAAAGTTGTTGAAATACATTGCGATTTTGGCTCCGTTTATCTCGTTTTTTCGAAGGTATGTTTTTATATTTGTATTATTTAGGACCTAATTATACTGTTTTTGACTTGTTTGGTACAGGAATTGCTTTTTAGTTATGTTAATTATGTATTGTAATTATGCTTGATTCGGGTCAGTGGACACGCCAATAAAATGACCTTGATATAATGCAGAAGCAAACTCACTTTTTTTTGAGGAAAATAAAAACAAAACACGTCATCGAATTCGGGAAGATTTTTTCTTTCTACTGTTACTTTAAAACATGAGTTTGCTCCAGTAAACCGACAAGTAATCGCGGTTTGAAAATGGGGTACTTTCGCTATATTCTATCGCCGATGGCGGGAATAAACCGCCTGATAATCATCATGGCGCGAAGGAAATTATTGTACTAATCACTATTTTTCATGATAATTTTGAAACATACGCATTTTTGTTCGTACATATTTTAAGTTTAATGCAATTTTTAAGGTTAGATATGCTTATGTTTACCTGCCCTGACTATATTTTTTACATTTTATTATATAATTCGGCTATTTTGGAGTAAAACTGGAAATGATACTGCTATATATTTTAAACGGGTATATACTTCTGAAGGTGATACCCCAGGGAAACCTAATAATAAAAGACGCAGAATTTCTCGTTTGAAAAATTCAACATCAAGGTTTTTACAAATATAAAATACAGACATACAGTATGACCAGTTTGACCACACTAAAACATTGTATATTTTTAATGGGACAATAAAAGTTATCATATTAACAGTATTAAAACATTGTATTTTATATTAATGCTTTTTTTGCCTTGGGAGAATTTCTGTCTATAGGCATACGAGGCTGGGGGTTGCAACCCCTCCAGTCAGTGTTTAGTTGGGCAGAATTCTGCTTTAAAAAATTATTGGGCAATTGTTTTAAGATTGACTTTAAACAGTATATAGACAGGAGATGTATTCCTTCTATTTTATACCTCTTGTTCATCTTTAAATAAACTCATGACAATGTTGGGCAATTTCTATCCACCTGTATGCCAATATTATTTTTCAATGCTGGGAGTGGCATTCCAGAAAACCTATAGTACACACATTTCCTGGAGAAGCATGCCCACAATCCTGGTAAACATCCATGAGTTTCTTTGTTGCCATCTAATTGTGCTGGCACTGAGATTGCCCCTCTCACTTTTGCTGTTTGCTTTGTAGTTTCCTATCAGAAAGATTAAACCGACTCCAAAGAAATCCCCAGTACAACTTCATAAATGGACATTTGAGGAAGATAAAGCATTCATTGAATTCATATCTGTTGCAGAAAATCATGCAAATGATTACGATTGAAGAGGTTTACCAATTATGTAATACCTCTAGTTGTTTTAATACATCATTAAGCTAGAGCAAAAGCATCACCTTTCATATACTTTATCATATAGCATCCATGTTTCTGGTGAAATGAATGTGTGCAACATTTTAAAATTGTGTGCATAAGATTTTATTTTTAAAAACATTTTAATTATCTTTAAGTACAGTAATATTATGTTAATATTTTTTTCGATTTTAAAATAAATAAATTTTATCAACATCAATTATGTAGTGTGTGATCTTTTTATTAATTTGTGATGAGCAAGGGAAGACTATACACTGAAAATCATGAAAACCATACATACCATAAACCTCTGAATATAAGCCACCCCACATGTATAACCCCCCCCCCCTTGTGTAAGCCCATCAAAAATCGCTTACGAAAGAATATAAGCCCAGTGCTTTTAGGTGGAGGTTTACGGTAGATTGTCAAAAAACTGCAGAACTGATAAGATGGTGTCCATGCATGGGATACAATACTTATGGTATAATCAAGAAGTGACGAAAACACATGCAGTACAGGAAAACTGGGGTAGGGCCAAGACTACCACTACAGGTTCCCCAGCTCTGTCCTTACAAATAAAAGAAATGTCAGTATTACACCAGACACCAATAAACAATTTTGCAGCTTCTGCTAAACATTTTCTTTCAATGTTTTTTAACCCATTGAGTATTTGAGTGTCAGCACTCTCCCCCTGATGAGTAAATAGTATAGTGTTAGACAGTAAAATAATCTGGTGTTAGGCAGAGTAAAATAATAGACAACTGGTTGATCATTTGAGCATAGATAACTGGTTGATCAGTATAAATCCTTGCAATGCATCACACATTGCGATAGTGTTGAATTTACTCCATTTCATTCTTTACAACAATGCTACCACTGGGTGCTTCTCCCATCATTCGGTGTGTATGAATGTCTGTCAGGGCAAACAGGATTTATTGGTAAATTAAAACAGTTACAATCAGTTGGCTGATGTAATTCTATTGGTGGAAGTACACTATCCGGCTCACATCTTGACTATCTGGGTCACATGGTGGGATTGCTTGGGATGTTGGTGATGTTGAAATGTCAAACTCCAAACAACATAACATTGTTATATTCTTTGTTTATACCTCCTTCCCGTAGATCATTAGGGTCGAAGAACTACATGATCTGAAATAAAAATACGTTTAATACTGCTGTATTTATACAACATAGGAGCATTTTTATATTTCTATTTTTATATAAAAGTCATCTCACCTTAAAAACACAACTAGAGTGAATTTGTACCAGTGCAGGACTACCGCAATCAGCGAACAATTTCATCAATTTTTATCCCGTTAACCACAGCTGGACAAAGGACTATTCTTCGAACTATCCGTAAAACTATAAACATGAACCTCACGACATTCAAGTTCATCACACGGTAATTCTTCCGGAATCAAGATTAAAGGCTGTTTTGACACACAGTGAACACACAGAAGCTCGTGTCCACCCAAAAACGAAGCTTTCTTTCCATGCATAGTGCAAAAATCCATCATTTTACAATTTTTTTTCGATAAATCTTTTCTGAATCTCTTGAAACCTCGAGGTGTAAACACAGCGAAAACCGACCGAACAATGACGGCGCAGAGCGAGAAATCGATAATATGTAAAAAACCGCGCCTGACCGCGTTGCATGCCGGTATAGTCCTCACTCCTCCTCTGATAGAAACCGGTGTGCTTTAATATAGCTTAAATTTATTAACCTTATCCGAGTTTTAGTACTTTAAAAAACTAGCAATAAAATATAGAAATCGCTTGAAAATTATATATCATAATCTCTAATTTCCATGTGTTTATATAACTCTGACAGCAACATATTCTCTCCTATGGCAGATCGGGATTTAAATATTAGCTTAATTGTAGATACATAACTCTTACCGCATGCTATTTCTCAGCGTTTTGACGCTTGATAATATTTATATATTACTTAACAACAAAACATATAGCTGTATACCCCGAATATATAAGTTTTAGATATATAACACTAATGCTATTTGATATAATATCAGATTTTTTACTCCTCTAGGAGCTAAATTAAAGGAATCACTTGACAATAACAGCAAAATGCCAGAGCTGTATCATAAACGTGGAGGGACGCTAAAAAATGCGTAGTCAGCAAATTTTGTTCAATTTCGCCCGAACAGGCCCGCGTGACGTCATTACATATAATTATGATTTGCCGAGTGACGTCATTGCATATAATTATGACGTATGTTAATGAGTGACGTCATTACGCATCCTCAATTGTACGAGTATTAATTATAAATGAGGTGGTGGACACCCACCACCTCAAACTCCACTACCTCAAACTCCACCACCTCACACCACCTCATCCACCACCTCAAAAATCCGGATCGATCGGTACCTATATTACTACTTAGGTTTCCAGATTTGAGCCGTATGTGTATATCTTGGACTGTGGTGTGGTAAGCACAGCGCTTTGATTATATTTTCCGATCTTTTCGTATGCGTATTCATCAATAATGTTGACGGAGGCACCCGAGTCAATGATGGTTTGAACAGGTTCGTTAGCAATATGTACCTCACAGAGTGGTGACGTATTGTGTTGATGGTTCTTTTGGACGGTGAATATGTAGTAGGCCGTATTCTGTGGCACGATATCGTTCAGTTCCGTTGCCCGGGTTCGGGCACTACTTTGAAACAAGATAAATAATTAGGATAAATTATACAAAGTTCAAATCCGCTTGTTTGCACTTCCCAAAACGTGCAGTTTTCGAGTATTTCTTCTTCGAAAATTGAAGAAATCGACATCTTTCGCAATCGATCGCCGCCATTTTTGTTCAGGATACTTGGTGTAATAAACACTCTAAATGCCGATTTTCGCGGGCTCATGCTCATTCTTACATGAAGTTTCCAGCTTAGCATTTGTAAACATGGCGTCTTCTGATTCATGTTTCAATTCATTTTGATGGGAAAAAAGGCCCACTTACAAGTTAACGTTTTAGTGTGGTTTCGTATCAAAAATTTTTTAGGTTATCGTAGAATTTGGCAACGCTAGACGGGGAAGAATGCAATGTTGCTCAAAGAAGTTTGCGGTTTGTTAGCGACAGCATGGAAGTAGCACGGTCGAAAATATCGATGCAAATTTCTCTTTATATCATCGAAGTTGTTTAATACTCGGCATTCACAAATAGCAGTATGATCAACCGAGCTCAAGAGCGTTGTCAGAATATAGACAAAGAAGGTGTACCTTCATCCTCTGGTCTCCATATTATTGATGAAGAAACGGAATCAGATGAATACGAGTGCGGGCCTGTGCGGCAGCAAAATCATGGAATCCCCACTTGTTGCCATGCGTTTAGCGTTTGTATAATTTGCTAATCAGAAAAGTCGTATTTCACTGAATCGGTAAGTTTATTGATTTATTTTTTTTACAATTGTTATTTTTCTAATATGTGTTTTATAATTATATATTGATTGCATTGCCTTTAGCCGCTCCCGTTATAACGGTTGTGTGATTTATATGCATGGGGTTTTTATTGTTTAGAAGTCGAAAAAGCTGGACAAAATGGTATCTGTGAAAACAGTACATGGTGGTAAACTGAAAGAAGCTGCAACAAAGAAAGTTGATGAAAGTATTCTGATTCAAATTGGTATTGAAAGCATCCACATACAGTATACAAGTGCAAGACTGAAAGAAATGTATACAGACAATTAATACAGTTGGCCCAACATTGAGAAACAACTTGCAAAGACTGTTGCAAAACATTATACATCTGCTTGGTACAAGAACTGGCCACAACATGCATCAGATATTACTGGTGAAAACATTAGTATCACCTCTCTTGTTTAATTTTATGGCATGGATGCTTGAGTTTTCAGATGACCCAGAAGATGCTGACTACATTGAATTAGATGACCAAACTACATCAAAGATTTTTCTCTGTGTCAAAATTTGGTCAATATTTCTAATAGGGGGAAAGTACAGATACCCAAGTCCCTAGCACTAGCAATGACTGTTCGGTAGATGTTTGGTTGTTCTGGCCTGATATTTAAGATTTTGAGTGGTTTTGGACATTGTCTCTCACTATCTTTGGTAATGGCATATGATTCAGCTATTGCACAGGCAACTATCAACACATCAACATTATTCCAGTAATATCTGATGCATGTGGTGGCCAGTTCTTGTACCAAGCTGATGTACAATTATGCAAGTTGTTTCTCAATGTTTGGCCAACTGTATACATTTCTTTCAATGTTGCACTTGTGTATGTCGATGTTTTCATTACAATGTCAACATCAGAATCAGACTCTTGTGTGAACTCTGAGATGTTTCTATGTCATCATCCGTAAAACGTTTTCTTGACTGAGGCACTCTGCATAAACAATTTCACTCTTGTTTCATAACTTTGGTCTATGGAAAACAAGTTGTGGAAACCTTTTACACATGTTCTTTTCATAACATTGTTTATGGTATTTCACTTTCAATGCTAGGTCCTTATCAGCAATTTGAATCAAAATACTTTCATCAGCTTTCTTTGTTGCAGCTTCTTTCTGTTTACCACCTACTGTTTCCGCAGACACCATTTTGTCCTAAATAATAAAAACCCATGCATAGAAATCACAACCATTATAATGTTAGCGGCTAAAGGCAATGCAATCAATATATAATTACAGAACACATCTCAGAAAAAATATTAATAAATCAATAAACTTGCCGACTCAGTGAAATATGACTTTTCTGATTTGCAAAATTGCAACATGGCAACACGTGGGGATTCCATGATTTAGCTGCCGTACTCGTACACACGTAAAATTCTCACATCTTGTAACAAGTCTGCCAACAAGCCGCCAAGAAGATGTATTCGCACTGCTTGTCACAAGTTGTCAACAGGTTTGGAACAACTTGTTGACAACTTGTAACAACCTTGTCGAAGTTATCAGACTTGTTGCAAGGTTGTTCTGACAAGTCTGTTACATGCTTGATATAACAAGATTGTTACAACCTTGTGTTGACAACCTTGTAACATCCTTGCTATATCATGGTTGCAACAAACTTGTTAACACAGTCTTGTAACAAGGCTCAGATAATGCCATCAAGCTTGTTACAAATTGTTAACAGCTTGTTTCAAACTTGTTACGACAAACTGGGAACAAGCAGTGTGAAGACAACTTGTTGACAGCTTGTGAACAGACTTGTAACAACTTGTTTGCAGGCTTGTTACAAGCTGTGCGTTTTTACATGTGTAGGTGAACTCAGCGTATACATGTAAAAATGCACAAGTTGTAACAAACCTGCAGCAGATTTGTAGCAATGCTGCTACAACAACTTGTCAACAGGATGTGTTCGCACTGCTTGTTCCCAGCTTGTTAACAAGTTGTCAACAGCTTGTTGACAACTTGCTACAAGGTTGTCAAACTCAACAAACTTGTTACAAGTTGTTCCAACAACAATTCAACAATTTGTCAACAAGTTGTGTGAGCTTGTAGCAACTTGATAAAATAACAGAATTTTTACAACTTGTTGACAAGCTTGCTACAAGTCTGTTGCGACTTGCAAACACATCTTGTTGACAAGTTGTGCGATTTTTACGTGTGTAGATCTCAGCATTTTCTTTACAGGTGGAGTTTCATCTGATTCCGTTTCTTCATCAATAATATGGAGACCAGAGGATGAAGGTACACCTTCTTTGTCCATATTCTGACAACGCTCTTGAGCTCGGTTGATCATACTGCTATTTGTGAATGCCGAGTATTAAACAACTTCGATGATATAAAGAGAAATTTGCATCGATATTTTCGACCGTGCTACTTCCATGCTGTCGCTAACAAACCGCAAACTTCTTTGAGCAACATTGCATTCTTCCCCGTCTAGCGTTAGCCAAAGTCTACGATAACCTAAAACATTTTTGATACGAAACCACACTAAAACTTGTAAGTCGGCCTTTTTTCCCATCAAAATGAATTGAAACATGAATCAGAAGACGCCATGTTTACAAATGCTAAGCTGGAAACTTCATGTAAGAATGAGCATGAGCCCGCGAAAATTGGCATTTAGAGTGTTTATTACACCAAGTAACCTGAACAAAAATGGCGGCGATCGATTGCGAAAGATGTCGATTTCTTCAATTTTCGAAGAAGAAATACTCGAAAACTGCAGGTTTTGGGAAGTGCAAACAAGCGGATTTGGACTTTGTATAATTTATCCTAATTATTTATCTTGTTTCAAAGTAGTGCCCGAACCCGGGCAACGGAATTCGTTTTCTAAGCGACTTTTCGTGCCACAGAATACGGCCTATAGTGGGGCTCCTCATCTGTAGAGGTTCGAACTACTTGACGGATATCTTGTCTTTTGGGTTTGGATCTGCAAACCTTAGCAAAATGGCCACTTTTTCCACCTGCTCTGCATTCTTTACATCTTGCAGGACAGTCACCGGTGTGTGAAAAAATTCCGTCACAGTTGCGACATTGCTGTGTTGAGGGTCGGGTTGTTTTGTGATTTCCTATGTCCCTTTAGTGCTTGAATCTCAATTGTTGATATTTTCCGTGATTTTTGCTGATTTTTGTGTCTCTTTGCTCGTTTTTGACAGTGTTTATGGAAGACACGCGGGCCAACGTTGCCACCGACAAGAACATCAAACGTAGGAAAATTAGGCAATGAGAAATTTTTTGAAGTCACCTTACGATCCGCTGGTGTGTAATATTGTTAAAATTACTCCCACAGACGAATTACTGGTTTCTACAGCAGTAGGGAAGCGCAATGTCCCTTTTCACATTGTACACTTTCTGAATGTTGTAGGCATTTGGGTGAGTGTCACTGTTCCCCCAACTTAGGTCGCCGAGCGGATGTTTGGGAACCGCGAAAATCTTACGTTTTGCTGGTATTACTCCCACATTTCACAGAGATAAATTAGTGGGTTCTAAAGCAGTAGCGAAGTGCAATATTCTTTTTCACATTGTACACTTTGTGAGCGTTGTAGGAATGTGGGTGAGTGTCCCTGTTCCCCCGACTGGGGTTGCATGAAGTGGAAGAGTGAAATCCTTACAATTTGCTGGTGTGTAATTATTGTTGAAATGAGTGCAACTTTTCACATTGACGAATTACTGGTTGCTGAAGCAGGAGGGAAGTGCAATGTCGCTTTTCAAATTCTACATCCCGTGACTGTTGTAGGTATGTGGGTGAGTGTCCCTGTTCCCCCAACCTAGCTTGCCGTGAGCGGATATTTGGGAACCGTGAAAATCTTACGATTTGCTGGTGCGTAATTATTGTTAAAATTATTTCCACTTTTCACACAGATGAATTACTAGTTTCTGAAGAAGTAGGGAAGTACAAATGTCCCTTTACACAGTGAGTGTCCCTGTTCTTCCAACTTATGTTGCTTGGAGCGGATTTTTCGGAAGCGTAAAAACCTTACGATTTCCTAGTGTGTAATTATTGTTAAAATTACTCCCAATTTATACACAGATGAATTACTGGTTTCTAAACCAGGAGGGAAGTGGAATGTCCCTTCTCACATCGTACACTTTGGGCGTGTTGTAGGCATGTGTGTGATTGGCCCTGTTCCTCCAGTTTAGGTCGCCTGTAGTGGATATTTGGGAACGGTGAAAACCTTACGATTTGCAGGTGTGTAAGTAATGTTAAAATTACTCCCACGTTTCCCAAAGATGAATTACTGGTTTCTAAAACAGGAGGGAAGCACGATGTCCCTTTTCATATTGTACACTTTGTGAGTGATGTAGGCATGCGGATGAGTGTCCCAGCTCCCCCAAGTTAGGTCGCCTGGAGCGGATACTTGTGAACCGCGAAAATCTTACGATTTGCTGGTATTGTTAAAATTACTCCCACTTTTAACACCGATGAATAACTGGTTTCTGAAGCAAGAAGGAAGTGCAATATCCCTTTTCACATTGTACTCTTTGTTAGTGTTCTACGCATGCGGGTGAGTGTCCCTGTTCTCCAAACTGAGGTTGTATGGAGGGGATATTTGGGAAACGTGAAAACCTTACGATTTTCTGGTGTGTAATTATCGTTAAAATTACTCCCACTTTTCACACAGATGAATTACTGGTTTCTAAAGCAGTAGGGAAGCACAATGTCCCTTTTCACACTGCACACTTTGCGACTGTTGCAGGCATCTCTGTGAGTGTCCCTGTTATTCCGAACTGAGGTGGCATGGAGCGGATATTTGGGAAAAGTGAAAACCTTACGTTTTGCTGGTGTGTAACTATTGTTGAAATGAGTGCAACTTTCACACAGATGCATTACTGGCTTGTGAAGCAGGAGGAAAGTGCGATGTTCCTTTTCCATTGTACACTTTGTGAGTTTTCTAGGCATGTGGGTGAGTGTCCCTGTTCTCCCAACTTAGGTCGACAGGAGCGGATAGTCGGCAACCGTGAAAATCTTCCGATTTGCTGGTGTGTAACTATAGTTAAAACTACTCCCACTTTTCGCACGGATGAATTACTGGTTTCTAAAGCAGTAGGGAAGTGCAATAATCCTTTTCACATTGTACACTATGTGAGCGTTGTAGCCTGTGGGTGAATGAGGACTTTAAGATACCACGGCAACAGACTACGGACAACGCGTTTTCATGCGCGGTCTAACATTTGGAAGATTGGGCCGACTACGACAAAAAGCGCGCGACGTACGGAGAAGTTTAGCGATTAAGATTTCGACCACAAAGGCGACAACGTACTTCACTACTTGATTTATATATATATATATATATATTTGTCCTAATTCAAAACTTAAGGACACTCATAAACCGGTTGAGATGTCCTTTCAAGATGTTAGAACAGCTCTGGTGTTAAGTTATGGCGATGGGCAGATAGATGACGAAGAGTTCGTGCTTCTCTACGATGCATATAAGTCAACAAATCCTGCTTACCCTTGCTGGGAATTTGGTGATTTTTGCTGGGAAGAGTACGATTCCAGTGAGTTTGAAGCCATGTTCAGAGTAAAACAAGAGGACATACCTATTCTTGTAGATGCTTTGAGAGTTCCAGAAACGTTTAAGTGTGGTCAAGGAACAATTTGTGATGGCATTGAAGGGTTGTGCATACTGTTAAAAAGGTACAGTATACATAATACAGTATAAATGTTAATTTATATTTAATAGTGTGCATGTTTTATTGTCGTATACCTGCATTTTTATATTTATGTATTTTATTTGAACTTTCCTTCAGGTTAGCATATCCTTGTCGATATGTTGACATGATGAGCACATTTGCAAGACCTGTGCCTGAGCTATGCATGATCTACAATACAGTACTTGACTGGATTTATGATGTTCATGGCTTCCACCTAACATCATGGAACCAAAGCTTTTTATCTCCTTTGGCACTTGAACAGTATGCAAATGCAATTAGAGAACGAGGAAGTCCCTTAGTCAATTGCTTAGGGTTTGTTGATGGTACAGTGCGTCAAATATGCCGCCCTGGCAAGATGCAGCGTGTAGTGTACAATGGACATAAACGTGTGCATGCACTTAAATTCCAATCAGTTGCTCTGCCTAATGGTTTAATAGCCAATCTATATGGTCCTGTCGAGGGACGTCGCCATGATGCAGGGATGTTAAAAGATTCTGGCCTACTAGGTTCCCTGGAGCTTCACGCCCATAATCCAGATGGGCAACTCCTTTGCTTGTATGGAGACCCAGCTTATCCACTTCGCCCACAGTTAATGGCCCCCTACCGTGTTGGTGATGTGCAAGTATTAACAGAGGATATGAAAGAATTTAATCGAGCAATGAGCTCCCTCCGAGTTTCTGTGGAATGGTTGTTTGGTGATGTTGCAAACAGTTTTAAATTTATTGATTTTAAGAAAAATTTAAAATTACGGCTTAGTGCAGTTGGCAAATTTTATGTTGTTGCTGCATTGATGAGAAACATATTAACATGTCTCTATGGGAATACTACTTCAAAGTACTTTCACATTGATCCACCGACCATCGACTCTTACTTAGGGGTGCATAATTAGATGTCCTGGGATTAGGGGGGGGGCATTTGAAATAAAGTGTAATAAACATGTAAATCACAATGGCAAAGCTAGCCATGGTAACTGCTATGCTAATAAACCTGCATTTCTAAATGTTTGAAACTTTGAATAATGCAACTATTACAAATTTGTATAGCATGACTATATAGCTTTGGCACTGATTGCAGAATATAAAAAACACACAGATAGAAGATATAATCCTGGAATAACATGATATTTTCTATTACTGTATGTTGCCAAATTGTACCTAAATTCGGCTATATAACAAGGAAAATGAAAAACATTAACTTCAACTTAAAAACCACAACATTATTGACATTTAATGTCACTTTATATATTAAATAAATGTCACTTTGATAGTTTCTCAATGACAGTAACAAATAAATTTTGTGTGTTTTTTTGTGTTTCCATCATTTGCTGTAACTGTAGTTGTTGCAACTGAAATTGCTGCTTCTGTTGTTCAGCTTTAAGTTGTAGTTCTTGTCTTCTGATTTCTAACTCTTCTTTCCTCAGCTCATTTTCATTTGTTGTTTTCTGAACTAAATATTGAATGGGGTCTGTACAACTTCTTTTTCTTTTCCTTGCAGGTTTAGGCTTCTCTCCCAGATTTTCATCACCACTGTCTTCTTCATCTTCAACTTGCTCATCCTCACCATGCTTTGCTGCCTTCTTCCAAGTTGTCATTGCAATTTCTCTGGTAGCAAGTGCTTCCTTTCTCTTTTTTTCTTCATTTCGGGAGTCAACAGCTGGATTCTTAATTGGAGTTGACTCCAGCATCTCGATAATCTCTTCTAATATTTCTTCGTTTTCAGTTGGTGGGTCTGGGGTAATACCTGAAGCTTTTTCTTCCATGGACTTCTTTTTTTTGTAGTTTCCCATTATCTTATTGAATTGATCTCGAACACTACGCTGATCTCGGGGCATGTCATGAAACAAAACAAAACAATTACGATTGTCGGCTACTAATGTCCACTTTTGTCCTGCTTCTTTGCTTCCGGCCTTGTATAAGAAAGGTTCAGACACGTAAGCTTCACGCAGAAGTAAGGTGTTCCTTTCATTGCTCCAGCGAAAGGGCCCCCTAAAACCAAGGCATAGTAGATAGTTTTTAAATAAATAAATTTGCATTCAAACCATTAATACCATTTCATATAAAGAATAATTAAATCAGACCATGTGTAACAAATGGCTTGATTATAATGAGTGCCAACTTGGCATTATGAGCTGTCTGAATTTGAGCCAGAGGTCTTAATTTGCTGCCTAGAGTACATCCCAGCAATTCCATTTAATATACATTACAAACCATTATAATATAACATGCGGAAATTCTGAATGCTGATTGGCTAAGAGCCGTGTTGACATAACTTAATGTCAACACGGAAAAATTTCCCACCGCTCTTTAAATTTATTTTAATGTTGTACAGTATATTTCATTGTGCTATATTATAAAGCAAATATAAAACTTTTTCCGTGTTGATATACAGTTATATCAACACGAGTGGAAATTGGGAAAACGAGAAATTGTGTGGAAACACGACGCCCAAAGGGTAAAACAAGTTTTTACTGTATATATCTAACAAAAATTTCAATCCCTTAAAGGAGAACGCTAGCTTGTATCTGGATATTAGAACATACCTATATAAGGGTGGGTATATACATGTACATGGGAATAGAGTAAATATCCAATGTGTTTTCTTTTATGTGGTCATTTGAATAGCAAAATCATTGCAAACATAATACATTCATAAGGTTTGTCTCCAGTATGTGTTCTTTTATGTCAACAAAGTTGTGTTGACTAAGCTCAGGTCAATTTGTTATACAGTATATTGATTTATGTATGTTTATCTTGTAGCAATTGTCACAGGTTGATAACATACAAATGATATAATATACATATAGTAATACTAATTGCACTGTATTAACATACAGTTATTAGTAATACCAATCTTGACAATGAATGTGATTTGCTTTATATTCCTGGCTAATTTAAAACACGTTTCTGATATCACAAGCAAAAAATAGCCATAAATTTCCACTTCCTAAATATACTTTATACCTGGAATTGTTCAAACTTTCACCTTGTCCATCTGGTTTTTCACTAAAACCATTCAAATGGAACACATTAATGTCAAATGTGGTTGATTTGTTGATCAATAACGAGGTTAAAAATTCGATTATTTATATCTTAAAATACGCGCAGTATGAGGCACATTAAATTAAAAAAAAAACATTTTCAACGCTTGATTTCAATATAAATATTGCATCCTGTCCACCTCTCCAACCTTGACTAGTTGTTTTCTTCATTAAAATATTGACTAATAGTATTGTATATACTTTATAGCTCAAACTGAGGGACACTTTCAGAATTTCAGTGCTAATATAATTTTTAAAAACGTTGTTGTTTTCGAAAACGGATACCACAAAACATCACATAACATAATCCAGCATAAAACTATGCATTCAAAAATCAGGCACACGATGAGAAAATCATACCTGGCTTTTTCCATGTTCGTTTCCGGTCTTTCCGTTTCGTTTTAGCTGTTAAAATAACTTGAATCACTTTCAAACACGAGTAAAATCTATCTTAAACATTTTGTTTGAACAAAACACAGTTTAAACAAAGAAAAATAAAAAATATAGAGCAAAATTTACTTACGTACTAGAGACTACGTGAAAAACCTGGAAAACCGTCGTAGCGAGCGGGAACACAACGAACAACGTAATTATGCTTGGTCTTGAGCATGCGCAAAGCACCTCTACCCAGTTCTCTCTCGTCCTCATTCGTTGTTCGTTGTCCGTAGTCGCCAATCTTAAAGTCCCTAATACGGTTGTAATACGACGGATTGGCAAGCATTAATTAGTCCTACACAATTGACTTGAAGAATATATTTTGAGATGTACGTGGCTTAGACGAGTACGACCGTGACTGACAAACGATATATAGTTATTGATATCTACTTTCAAATAGCCGAATAAAGCTTTGTATAGAAACAGGCCAAGTCTTATAGCAGCAAAATATCCAGGCCAACAACCGCTCTTTATAAATTAACCTTCCTCTGCTCATCGTGATCCATCTCGTTGAACGTCTTTGCACCCCTACTCGCCTTGATAACTGGATGTTATTTACGGTGACCACACTTCTGTTGCATAACTTAAATGCGATTTCACAAGAGACAGATAAAGAGGTCGCTTGGTTTTCATGTCGGTTAGTTGCATCCGTATCAACCGACGTTTTGTTATTATTGGCACAACCTAAACTGGCACAAACAGCTATTTAAGATTATAATTCAACAAAATGGTCATTCCTTAATAATGTCACACAATTTTCTGGAAAATATGTTAAGCAAGAAGAATTCAAGGGCTTTCAAGCACTGGTTTATAAATCCCAGAGTAGGGGCGGACCCAGGATTTTTCGTACGTTAGTCAAAGTTTTCGGATGTACAATGTAGTTTTGCGAGCGGCGAATGCGCGAGGCACCAAGGGGGGTCTGTCCCCCGGGAAATTTTATGTTTTTAAACCTCAGAAACGCAATTTGCATCACTCTGAAAGCAGCTTGAACAAAAAATGAACTTCATGAAATGGGAGATAATTATAGCAACTATCAGTCTGACTGACTCTCACAACTCGCTTCTAATAGGGAAAAGTGAAGGAGAAGTACTTGCAAAAATGTGATAATTGTGGAAGATGTTTCATTTCATCAAATTACGGATTGCTACAGTAGCTAGTATTATGTTTAATTATCTCATGATAGTACTACACTCATTTTTGTTGCCTAATAGCCTCGTTGAGTCATTGATCACTTGATTAGTAATCACTACAGTGTCATATTACTCAAATAAACATATATCAATATTAAAGTCTTAACATTCATGTATAAACCTGCCCTATATATCCTTATGTGTACTGCATTAATGCATTTATATAGGTTATCCTCCATATTAATAGCCTTCTGACTCTGAGTTCTGACGGTCCTTCAACCGCAGAATTAGAAATATGCAAATTTGTTGTGTAAATCAAAACTCATAGCTAAATCTAAATCAATATACGCGTATTCAAGTTACAATTTTACATATGCATGGCGCGCATAAATAAAATTTACATATCACATTAAATTTACCTTATTTAACTTCAGAATAAAGATCTCGGCGCCAATACTTCTTCTCAAACAGTCAAACTGTAGTTGATGCTACTCATGGCGCCTAGCAACTGCTCACTGAATTGAACTCTCCGATATTTAGCGTCGATTTTCCTCCCAAGATCAGCGCAACAGTCTTGTAAGACAGCTAAATCATTCACCGCAAATGCGGATTGAACCAATTCGCGAATACTACAAGGACTGGAGCAGCAGACATTTCCGAATTTTCCGTAGAGCTCCAACATTTTTTTTTTCCCTGACTTTTGTAAATCGGTCAGAACTCCCCACAGATCAGTCAAAATCGCAAAAAATCGCTTGTTTCCATGGCAATAAGCGTCTAGACCAATCAGAACACTGGATTATGACTTTTTGACTGACCAACTTTGCGTATGTCAGCTGCTCATTGACTTGACTAAGCTCGTCGGCTCAGCCATTGTATGAAATTTGATCACTGGACTACAGTTCGATTGGAATGTTAATTGCTAGCGCTGGATGATAATAGATACTGGACTATTATAAGGTGTCGCTGCATGATAAAAAATAACTGGACTATTGGTCGAATATTTAAGACTTTTAAGTTTGCAATTTTTACGTTAGTCGCGTGACTGGTTTGACGACCCCTAGATCCGCCCCTGTCCCAGACCTTGAATTTTTCTACCTGTCACGTTTTAGGGCGAGTTACTATTTTTAGACTTTTGTACTCTAATCTTTACCCTAATCTTAATTTTAACCCTAAACTTGACCCTTTCCCTAATCCAAACCCTAATCCTGACCCTAAAAGTCTAAAAAATCGTAGCTCCAACTAAAACGTGACTCATATATTATGTGAATTTTTGGTTTCAAATTCAACTACTCTCATGCTCTCTCACCCTTTTAATTTAAAACCCGTGTTGGAACCTAATAGTCTCTACATATGACTAAAATGTTTAACTATAATAAGTAAACCTGAATCATAAAAATGTGAGATGAATTGCTTTTCAAGAAGTAAGAGCTTCAGGGAAATGACTTACGAAAAAATCGCTCCAGCTGTCACGAACGTGATTGTAAAATATAGGGCAAACGCAACAGCTAGACATAGTCACGTATAGTTCCTTGCGGTTTGACGTTTAATATATTACTTACTTACTTACTTACTTACTTACTTACTTACTTACTTACTTACTTACTTACTTACTTACTTACTTACTTACTTACTTACTTACTTACTTACTTACTTCATACGAGTAAAATACAAGTACATACGAGTACATACGAGTAGAATACGAGTACATACGAGTAAAATACGACTAGTAAACTTGTTTTTAGTGTTTGTAGATTGAATACAGGCAAAAAGATCTGTCGAAAAACGGGAATGGGGGAACGGGGAATGGAGGAACAGGGAATGGGAACGGAAGGGGACTTACTTACTTACTTACTTACTTACTTACTT